ACCAGGCTGCCTTTGTATAAAAAAAGTCGTAAATAAATAAAAAAAACCCCTCAATTTATTCCCCATCAGCGAACAGCAAGCCTGCAAGGAAAAGAACAAGAAAGAAGGAGAGGGAAGTCAGATACGAAACAAACTGGCTCCCAGAGCACTTTACTGGAACCACTAATGCTCGCTGGCCCTCCAACGCGGCCTAGTGTTTCAGCCAAAACCCTACTCTGAGGCAGAGAGGGCCACCAATACAGTCATTATAACAATTCTGTTTCTCCTTCTCCTGGTTTACAGGCAAACAGGGTTATGTCATTCAGACTGAGAGGCCCCACTGCGCAGCTGAGAAGGTTATGGATTCTACATTTAGTTACAAATGTTGTTGACATGAGTAGAACTGGCAACCACTTCCACTAGCTCCTCTTTCAACCAACCGTGGATGTTCTTGAAATGTTCTGCTATGCTCAGAGGGATACTTAACGTATTTTTGACTATTTTTAAAGAGTTAGTCATCTCTTACTCACTGTCGTTCCAAACCCATATGACTTTCTATCTTCTGATGTTGTTACAATACCAGCATTTCAGTAGTTACCAGTACTCCAGTATTAAATTTGAGGGTAACATAGTAAAAACAATTGGAACTACACTCTCAGGAAAAAGATATGCAAGTTGTCACTAGGGCAGTACATTTTCAAAAAGTAGACCTTTGTACCTTATTTACTCCTAAAGGTGCATATTGATACCTTAAAGGTAGATGTTAGTGCCCAAATTGTACATATTAATAACTTTTGAAAGGGTACCGCCCCAGTGACAGCTTTTGTACTACTATTTTTTGCTATTTTATGTGACTATTTGAAAATAAGAAATATTAAATGTGCTAATTATTAATGGTAATAGTAATTAAATACATTAACAAAACATTAGCATTTAGCCTTCACATATCTATTTTGACGTACATTTGTCACTCCCAAAGTTTTGCTTTGTGTGCTTAGCAACATGTAAAATATGACTTTTATTCTTACTTTGAATGGGTGATAATCACTGAAGTTGTCAATCACTTCAGTTTAGTGTGAGCTCACTCTTGCAAAAACTTGTCATAATCAATGAAGCGTGCCGAACGTAATGAACTCGCTGTAACCAAAAACGTCAGTGTTTTGAGTGGTATTGTGTCTAATTTAAATTGGCCATTGCATTCACATGCTCAACAGACAAGTCTGTGATTGGCTACAGTGCTCAACACTTCAAAAAATATGTAATTAGAAACCTGTGAAGCTCTTTACAATGTTCACACAAAAATACATGGTATAAGGCAATGCCTGGTATCATCATATTTTTGACATTTCAGTATCGGCTTTGTACAGTTTTGACAACACTACTTTATCAAGTGTCCAAGCTGCTTGCTCTCTTCCATACAGTGAATGTCAGTGGTGACAAATGGTTGCCAAAAAGACCACTTTCAATCAATTTGACTATATTTCAAGTCTGTGATAGCTTTGTGTACAGTCAAATTTAAGTTGAAAATCATGTTTAACAGTTGTAGTCACCATTCACTTTCCTTGTATGGAAAAAAACTGCTTTGACCTTCTGCTAATGATATACTGTATGTTTTACGTACTATGGAAGAATGAAAATCATATGGTTTTGGAAACGACATGAGGGTGAATAAATGCTGACAGAAGTTTCATTTCTGTGTGAACTATCTCTTTAAGCCCTAAGACTTCATCATGAGATAAGGAGGCCCAGACATGTTCTCTGACGTGCTCAATTGCTGAAATTCTTGAAGAGCAGATTGATGGAGTGAAATACTTTAGATTCAAAGTGGTTTCATGCGGTACAGTACGCTGGGCCTCTGGATCGGAGCAGATATGCTGCTGTCTGGTCAGACAATGCCCTGAAGTGAGATGGATCTATGCTAATCGCCAAGCCTAACAGTACTGACAGTGAGGAGAATAAAGACTGAAGAACCGGCTGCCTCATAGCGCCAAGAGTTCTTCATCTGCGCTCAGGAGAGGGAGTGAGAGGGAGAAAGCGTGCTGTGTATTTACACAGGTGTGTTCCTGTTCTTGGCAACTGTGCTACAACAATATTGAAAACAGGCTGCTGAGCTTCATGAACAACCTGAACGAGGGGATGATGTTTCAGTCAAATCTCGGGTGCTCCCCCTCCTCGCTAAAATATTTCTTTATCCGAAATGCAAGTCATGGAATGCCTGGCGATTCGAGTGAGTGCCTCAAGATAATACAGTCTTTAATTTTTTTGTAGTCAATGCCAAATTTTCCTTTTGATCATGAATCTGTTTGAGAGTTGAGTTTGTCTTTAAACATTTACATTCATGTGTTTAACAGATACTTTCATCCAAAGTGGCTAACAAATGAGAAACATAAGCAATTTGCCTTATTTGCTTGACTAGATTGAACTGCATAAATGAACGTTCACTTTTGAATGAGTCGTTCACCGGTTCTTTTCAGTGAACTGAATGATTCCTTTATAAATCGGACTGATTTGTCAATTTCGCTGACTCTCTCAAGATGATCAGTAAATAATCACCGAGGATATTTTGAAGAATGGTGTTAACAAACCCATCTTCTTTCATTGTATTGTTTGTCCATATAATAAAAGTCAATGGGAATCAAAACTGCTTGGTTACCAACTTTCTTTAAAATATCTTATGTTCTACAGAAGAAAGAAATGCATATAAGTTTGCAGTGAAATTAGGTAAATGATGACAGAATTTAGATTTTTGAAATTTTGGTCTGTTCCTCACACAAAACTATGACTTGGAATATGGGATGCAAGTTACATGGAACACTTCTATGACATTTTCTCAATGTTAATGAAAAAAAAACTAAATAAAGGTGCTAATTGTTCACTCCACAGAAGAAAAAAAGGAGCTAATAATGATGAATGGAATATGGGATGCAAGTTACATGGAACACTTCTATGACATTTTCTCAATGTTAATAGAAAAAAAAACTAAATAAAGGTGCTAATTGTTCACTCCACAGAAGAAAAAAAGGAGCTAATAATGATGACCAGTAAGGGTGAGTATGTAATGATGGAATTTTAATTTTTGGATACACTGTTCCTTTAATTGCACAAATGTATAACCATCCCAGTGTTATCTACAACTACTAGCAGATAAATTATGACTTTTAGACATTAAAGATTGTACATTTCCATGATTTCAGGTTTCATGATTTTAAATTGAGACGATCGAACCCATAAATGTCTTTTACAGCATCAGTTTTTGATATTGGGATCTCCGCAGTGTAGGGATACAACTGTTTAACAGTCATACAGAATGCCACATTTAACCAAAGACATCATTTTCTGGATGAAACTTCAATCGCCTGGGGTCTGTAGAGTTGCATGCCCCACACAATGTGCACAGTGTGCCAATGAAAATACATGTTTGTTCTGCTTCTCCTCAGAGCTATCCATACCATTACCAATGCTTTTGGATAGAAGTTTTCCAGGAGACGTTTTTCCAGGAGGTCTTACTTCTAAAAGGATTGTTGTGGTTGTGTACTCACTTTAAAATGTAAAGCAGTCTCACATGGCCAAATAAGCATATAGAACTCTTGCCAAGAGTGAATATATAATATTCAAAGTGCAGAAAACTGACTCACTTTTAATTGTTTCATATCGGTTACGTAGTAGCTTGTTTTGATTGATCAAGGCACTTTATTATGCAAATAACCCCGCTAAGTCTGAAATTTCTGTCAGATGCTTGGAGACATGTCAGACTTCACCCAGCAGAGATGGAATGTAGAAGACTGACTGGGTCAGGGTGTGTCTTCATATTGGGACATGTTTGTGTGTGCAAGCTGTGAGTAAGGCCATGTCTTCTGTCTGGTCCTTGATGAGGACCTTTGCTGGTATGTGGACCTTGCCTCATGGACTGTTCATGGGCTTGCTATGGGAGACTGGAACTGTGGCTTCTTTTCTCCAGTGGCCTCTAGGCACCATAAGGAGATACAGACATTTCAAATACTTGCTTTGCAAGTTAGGGAGATAGTTTAGGGAAAAAAAAGAGCTAGAGAAATCTCGTCAAGAGCCCACAGAAGCAATTATTGCATTATGAATCACTAGTGTTGGAGGTAATGCACATAATAATTTTTTTTTTCCAAGTAACATGTTTACGTTTGCACCATAATATCCAAGTTACTTTTTCAAATAACACATTTTTCAGCAGAATTTTTAAACATATACAATTTATTTGTTTTATTGATTTACTATTTAATTTATGTATCTATGGACACAATAAAATGCTATTTTCCTTTACCTATGTTTTTAACATAAGTAATGCAATTTTGGAAGACAATACTTAAAAGTAAATATTACATTTGGTAGATATGTGGGGGCATGTTCGAACGAGCCGTTTTAGGTAGGTGTGGCTGACTCTTAACTTTTATAAAGAATATCTCTTTGGATTTGAGACTTTAGTCTTTGCAACTTTACAGATCTTCTTTATGCACCAAGAGCTTGTAACACTCCAAAGAGAAAGGAAAAAATGAAATTGCATCATATGACCCCTTTAAAAGTAAAAAATATGAAGAGTTCAGATGCAAAAGCCTGTAAGTGCCATCTAAAATTTTCTTCTAAAATTGTCATTTTTCTTAAGCTCCTATGCTTATGTTCAGTTATTTTACTTTAATGGCAAAGAAAAGTGAAATTACTGAACCTACACATGCTCATTTTAGAAGAAAATATCAAACGTCACTTAGAGGCTTTTGCATCTGAATTCTTCATATATTGTTGCGCATTTTAGATAAAAAAAGTATAATGTCAATAACCTTTTTCATGAGTAGCACAATATTGTAAAAATAAATTTGTCAAATCAAATTTATTTGTAGTATATATTGCCCTACACAAGAATATACTATATGTACGCAGATGGAGTTTTTATATATTCAAATTATATATGTAAGAGCTGAGCTGAGCAATAATATAATTGCATTTAAAAAAAAAAAATCAGGCCATTGAGATTTGTATGTAGTATATATGTGTACATTTTGTGATGTCTAATTTCTGATATGGCTGCAGTATGCTGTGTTTTCTGCAAACTGGTAACCCAGGTTGTTGAAATATTACGGGATAAACTGTAAGCGGGTGGAATCACACAAACCAAAACAAAAACAGACATTCCGACACAGAAAGCACATTTTCAAAATGGAACAACTAGCTGTAGTACTGTTTTTCGGAGAAACAAGTATGTGATCTTAGCATGTTTCCTGAATATCTGTAAATGTAATATGCCATTTTTATGCTTTAGTACAGTCAAAAAATTACCTACAGCATGTCTAACGTCTGAATAGCTAAACTTGTCTTCAGTACAGTTAGGGATTTGATTCTTTAATGTGTAGAGTTGGCAGGGAGGTGGCACTAGTTCTCTCCAGGCCAAATTGACTCTGACGTTAGGGAGGATATTCCTCATCTGTTGGCCATTGTTGGAGATAATGGGAGCCATATTACATCAACACTACATCATAGGCAGCCTTTGACCCCATCTTATTTCCAGTGATGCCGCTCTGTGGCACTGCCAAGATAGCAATCATGCATGGAGCTCAATGGGATATACTTTCACCTCAAACCCAGCTCAGAGTTGGCTGAGGCTCTGCATATGAACACAGAATGACTAGAAAGTTGGGGCAAAAGCAGAGGATTTGGGGTGGACACACTCGATGCAAAAATACACCACATGTTAGCAACTGAGGGCAAGTTAACCGGAAAGCTTTATTAAACATGGGCATAGCCGTTATGTCTGTGACCATGAGCTTTTATAGCACCAGAGCCTGTAGAGGCTTTACTCAATGGCCTGTGTAATCTATCAAATGACTTATGTCAGCCATAACCAGGGCTTTTGCGGAAATTGGCTCATTTGCTTTCCTTCCAGACTGGAAACTGTGGAACTGTCGATCTGTTTTGTATTTTTTTCTCAACGAGGCATGTTTACAAGGTTTGTTTACAATGATAGAATCAAAGTGCTGCTGCAATACAGAGAGACTTCTCCCTGTCTGTGGTCGGTTGTGGTTATCGTATGCAGATTTTGTGAGCCACTCTGAAATTCCAATAGGTCAGGCTTACAAGCTGCCAAATAATTTTAGTCGGATCTATTTCACATAATAGCTTTGAAGATATCTGAGTAAAATCACAACATCTGTAAACGGAAACAGAGTTTGGTATTAAAATATTCCACATATTGAAATATTTCTGTAGCGCAACCGATAGAACATACCGCTTACAACGTTAAGGTCAAAAGTTCAATTCCAAGGGAACATAATGACGAAAATGTTTAGCTTGAATGCACTTTGTTGCTTTGGATGAAATGGAAACGTACAGCACAACAAATTTCTCTTGAATAGAATATTTTATAACATGTATACATATAATAAACATATAATATTTTATTCACTTAAAGTCTGTGTTTACTGAAGTTTATTCAGCTGCCTTTCTAACCATGCTACTTTAAATCCATAATGTTATGCTTTGGAACTTATTACAAGGCTCTCTGGAATACTTGATTTTGATTGGTCTGTTGCAGCATTTTGAAAGTCAAATAAAAAAATATATTTGTCCATTATCCTTGTAAACAATTTCATCCTAGTTTATTATAATTTAAATTTAGTGATATTTTAGAATTTAATATATTATTGTTATTTTTTATAAAATATTTAACAATTATTTAAAAAGAAATAAAACTCATTTATTTATTTATTTACCACTAAAATATTCTCACTTTTTGGAAAAGAAGCCTTAATGTGAACATTCTTCTGTTCACCCGTGGAGGTCCCTGTTAGTTATTAGCATTTACTGAGTACAGAGAAAGAGAGACCTCAAAGCGTTGTGTGCGTACCCCCTAGACCGCAAAAGTTATTAGTTGTGTTAGACGGTGTCTATAATGGTTTAAGCACCAGGGGCCTCCGAAAGAGCCGTTTTGCTGTTAATTAGAGGGCAGTGATTTAGCCCCGTGGAGAGGCAGGCCACCAGTGCACTCACTTCCCCTCATCTTCACACTCGAAGTCACGGCTCCTCCTGAGCTATGAGTCAGGCCTGCCTGCGCGGCCCATGCCAGACAGGAAGCCCCATCTGCCCTGCGCCCAGGCTCATCATTTGCCAACGGTGCATGGCCTGATTTCGGATGAAACTGTTTAAGTGAAACAACAAAGGTTCTTCTGCAAACCCCCGCTGACTGTGTGCTTGATCTTTATAACTTTCGTGCATCTTTATACTCTCACACATGCTGAACAGTTTCAGGATTCATCTCGTTTCCTGCGCAAATTGGCTATAAAATTTGGTCTCATCTTCACCTAAGTCAGAGGTTCTCAGACTTTTTCAGGTGGCAGATTAACTCAAATTCATAATTTTATTTATCATTAAAGTTATCTAGACTGCTGTTAAATTTAAATGAGCTGACTGTTCGCTACACTGAAAAAAATGGTCTAGGATTTATTTTGAAAGTATATTTAAAGGCTTCACATACTTTCAAACACTTGCTACTATAATCTACGTGCATCAGTGTTCATGCACAATGCTGATATAAACACATTTGCAAAAAAATTGCAGTGATATTGTTATGGAGTACAGGTGGTTTATATGATTTCTCCCATCCCAGATGTGGTCAGTTACCATAGATGATTCACTGCCTGTCAGCATGGGTCGATTTTAATCATTGTTATATGTTTTAGGTCTTCCATATGTGTCCTGAGGACCTGCATGTCTCTCTATCTCTCTGCTGTTTACGCTACAGGAAAAACCATCGTCAGATTAGAGTGGTCTGCCTAATCTCAACTGCTTCCACATTACTGCAGAAGTCACTTTTAAGGGATTTCCTTGAGCCACCAGATGCAGGTGCTCTTCAAAGATCAAAAGAGACCAAAAGTAAGCCTGCTCAGATCGTGATCTCAAATAGCCTGGTTTTATCCTGTCATGTACATTGTAAAAATGCTTTCTGTCTGCAGCTGTGATTTGAATCCGTAGAACATGAATTTCCTCCACATGTTGTTCTGGCTCACAGACCGGTCCTCTTGTGGATACAGAGAATGACTGTCATTTGACCTCTTTTCATCAAACGAATGTCGGGCTGATTCCAGTTAACGTAACGGTAACTGGAGTTTAAGTCATTATTTTTACAGCACTGTAGCTATAAATTATGATGAAATCTTGTGTTTGGATGCAACTTGTTTGAATGATCATGGCAGGAATGTTTTGCCAACCAGCATCTGCAATTTGCTAAATCATAGATAAAACAGAAGTGATTAAACAGAAACACAAGCAATGTGTTTCTTACCAACCTCTATATGAGGCGTGTGTATGCATATTTTTGTGTATGTATGTATTTATTTATTATTTTTACATTTAAGTCCAATGTAAGGAAATTCATATTAAATTTTTAATATTTATACAATTCACAGATTGAAAATGTATGGAAACCCATTAACCTTATGCTTAAATCAACAAGTAAACCAGTGTTTGCATATATATATATATATATATATAGGAATGGAGTTATTTGAAGGATTTAATTAAGTATTTTCAAGTGCATTTTTGATGCATTTTTTAATATGTATATTTTTTACTTTACTTGAAAAGTAATTAATCTGACAATTAGTCCAAAACATCCTGTGTAAATAGTTTAAGTAAGAAAAACGAGTACTATACACTATGGCTGGGTATTGACACAAAAATGTCACAATTTTATATATTTATTTAATACACGAGTTTCACAATTTGAGTTGAATTACTGAAATAAATGAACTTTTCCACGACATTCTAATTTATTGAGATGCACCTGTAGATGTAGATCAGTTACAGTAGATCAGTTACAAAAAAAAAAAAAACTCTCTCAACTAATGCTGTTAAGTATACAGGGATCCATGGCAATTTATACATTACTACAATATTAAAGGTTAAAAATAATAAATGATTTGTATACAAAAAATAAAATTGCACATATGGTGTTTTATAATAATTATATTTATAATAATAACTTTAAACTGTACTCCAGTTTGTTTTTTGAAATATAAACATTTAAATGGTGGCTGTCATAAAAGCTTTGAAACTAAAAATCGATATATATTGGTTCATAAAAACGAAGTTATTTAAAGTTATTTTCAACCCAGCACTACTGTACAACACCATTTAGATTATTTATTTATTTTCAGAACTACCTGCTCAAATCTACTATAATTTGAAAATGGTCTATTGTAGTGGAAAATGGAAAGAGGCATTTGCCCTCTTCCGTCAAACCCAGCAAGTGAGCCATGGCAAAGTCCAGCAACTCGAACCACTGAGCAAACACAAATTACAGTTTAGACTTTCTGTTGGACTGTGTTTCCATAGTTTCTCAGTGTTTCATTGAAGAAACCTTTTTAATAAACTCAATAAATAAAGATTTAACTGTAGTGTTGTAGACCCAAGTCATGTCAAGCCCTGAAATCTGGACAGGAACTTGGAATCCCTCTTCCTCCTGGCATATTCTAGGGCACCTATTGCCAGCCGTCCTATAGTCACACCCTGCTGACTGACTCTAACCACCACCGTCCTCTCCAACGTTGATGTCAGCGTTTGGAGAACGTTACTACAGTGTTATCCTCTGAGTGCGTGCAAAGTCTTAGGGGCCCTTTTATGATGAGTGGGATCTCCCAGAAATCAGTGCGCTTTATAGCTTTTATATTGACTAAATCTATTTAGCTCTAAATCCCTTGTTGAGAACAAGCCAAGAGTGCCTGGATAATCCTATAATCTTTGAGAGGTGGAAAAATACACCATCATTATCTGGGGAACAGTTGCATAATTATAATTTGTCGCAGTTATTAATGACTGCATTACATTGTTGATTATGTCACAAGACTCTTCTCTGATTATGAAACCAAACCCACAATATAAGATATTTTGAGCTTTCAGAAGTTTGGGCTCGGTAAGATTTTTTAAATGGCTTTGAAAGAAGTCTCTTATGCTCACAAAGGCTGCAAACGTAATATATTTCCCAATATAGAATTGCGAAGCTGTATTTTCTGCAGCCATCAGTCCAGTCTTCAGTGTCACATGATGCTTCAGAAATCATTCTAATATGCTTATTTGATGCTCAATATTTCTTATTATCAATGTTGAAAACAGTTGTACTTCCCAATGTTTTGTGGAAACCTTGATTCTTTTTTTTTTCCAGGAATCTTTAAAGAAAAGAACAGCATTGATTTGAACATTATAAATAAAAGACAGTCTTTACTGTCACCGTTGATCAATTTAATAGGTCCTCTCTTTAAAATAAATTCATAAACAAAAATCTTGGTGATCCAACTTTTGAATGGTAGTGTAGTGTCAAAATCCAAAATGGATTTTGAGTGCCACTTCCAAAAAAGTCTACAGTATGACTATGGGAATACACACTACTGAATACATGTATGGTTTACAATATACTTTGTAACATAACTGACTATCTACTTAAATGCAGTACAGTCTTGAAGGGTAAATATGATATAGGTAGAAGAATATGTGAAGTCAGAAAACAATCGTTTAAGTGAAACCATGTCCTGGGCCGCACCATCTGGTGTTCTATGAGGGGGGAATCCCACACCGCTGGTCTGCTGTTTGCTCCGTGGCCGCTCAGTAACACCACTCTGGACCACAGTCATTAATCTTTGTGCTTTTAGGTTAGGGCCTCCTGCTGAGTCCAGTAAACGTAATGCAAAGCAAACACATAGTAAAGTTAGGTTGATGTAAAGCATGAGAATGTGTTTTTCTGAGTAGACCATGTCTTGTTAGGTGCTTTGTTGACAGGAGAAATCATGAACACGGCCAAGGTATGAAGAAATTTGGTCAATAAGGTTCTCTTTATTAACATTAGTTAATGCATTTAGTATCACGAAACAACGATAAGCAACACATTTTTGCAGCATTTATTACACTAGGTAGATGCTAAATTAGAAATATGTTCCCCCCTCCCCCCCCAAAAAAATATACAGCATTAACTAACTGTTAATTTGTACAACTTAAAATGCTAAAAAATACTTGTCACGTAGTTTGTAGATCGGGAAGGAGGAGGCGGGAACCGGCGAACATTTAAACAATTTAATCAAATAAACAAACACAAAATGAAAGTAAAGCGGCAGCCCCTCGCGGACGACTGCCACACACAAAACACAAAATAAACTCCAGGCCTGGTCCTCTCTCGTCCGACACTGTCGTCACTCCTCCCTTTTATCCTTCCGGAGCTCCTCCGTGAGACTCGAGACCGGTGAGTGGTGCAGGTGTCGCTCATTATCAATCACTCCACTGGCCTCGCTCCGTTCCCACGGCTCTCGGCCCCGCCCCACTCGTCACAATACTATACACTACTATTCAAAAGTATGGGGTTGTTAAGATGTTTCTGAAAGAAGCCTTTTATGATCGCCAAGGCATTTATTTGATCAAAAATACAGTAAAAACAGAAGTATTGTGAAATATAATTACTGTTAAAAAGAACTGTTTTCTATTTTGATGCTCAAAAATATTTCTTAATATTATTGTCAATGCTAAAAATGGGTTTGCTGCTTAATATTTTTGTGGAAAACATCATACATTTTTTTCAGGATTATTTGATAAACACAAAGTTCACAATCAATTTAATGCATCTTTACCGAATGAACAACATATTAATTTCTTCTTACTGACCCCAAACTTTTAAAACAGTAGTGTATTGTAGAAATTAACCAAGATTAATAAATACTGTTAAAGTATTACTCATTGTCAGTTCATGTTAGGTATTGCAACTAATGTTGACATATAAAACCTTATTGTAAAGTGTTTCCAATTCTTTCACATTTGCATGAAATAATGTGATAGCACGTTTATGTAAATTATTTTTTGCCTGTTTTCCAGACCTCGTCTAATGCCTCTAAAGCACTTTCTATCTCATTGCCTTCCTAAAGATTAAATAACAACTTTGTATGTGGTGACTGATTGAAAGAGAAGTGTTATTTGCCATTCATGCGACAATATAAACCTTGCCACAAAAACATTTTCATTCTATGTTTTTACTGCTCATTGAATTTTCTGTTCAGTGGTTCAGTACAAATTGGTAAACACAATTCTTTAAATATAGGTTGAATCATTGAGCAAGAAAAAGCATTAAGACTCGCCACACCCCAGCCTGAATCGAGCCTAGAGGTATTTGAATGTCTCACTGTTAGATATGAACAAAGCTGTCCGTCATTCCCGAGCTTAAGGAACATATTCCTACTGATGCGAGGAGTCATACAGTGCGCGGTGCCCCTGACCCGTCCCTGATTCGGAGAAGTGCCATTTTCATGACTGAGTGCTCTTTAGTGTCAGATAATGACTGTTCTCAGATCAGGGGGGAGAAAAGCTAAACGAGTGGATTTTCTGGTTGGGTTGACTCTAATACCACCTTCTCTTGACCGTCGATTTGTGTTGAGTGAATGTACGGTGAGAATTGACACTGGATGTCACTCCACTTGGTGTGTTTTTCCAGAGACAAGCAAACACGGAGGTGGAAAGACGTTCTGGAATGGGGCTTTTCAAAGTTAAGACGCTGAGATGCAGCCTAGGCTGACAAACTAGATCCAGAAGAAAGAGATAAATGCCTTCTTTCCTTGTTCTGACATGTATTCCCATTGATAGAAGGATTATGTGAATCTGAATGTGAATGAGCAGAGTGTACACAGTAAAGGCTTTACCCATTAGCATCTACTGTACGAGGCACACCCAAGATAGGCATTGACTGTCCTGTCATTTCTGTTTGACTTATGGAGGGATACTTATAAAAGAAATTTTCTTCACTTTTTTCTGCTGTGGTTTTTGGTCGAAGCCTAGATTCTCCAGAGCTTAAGTCACAAATTCTTTGAGAAAACTCTTATACAAGATCTTCCTAGTCTTTGGGTGTTAGTCAAACTCTGATTTCTCAAGGTGGTCCAGGTGGTCCTCCATTTGCAAAGAGTCTACCGTTTGAACTCGGTCGGAAGGGTCTTTGTTCCGTTTCTTATTGTCATTCACATATATTGTCTGTGGTTGTTTTGTCAAATTCCTCTGTACTTCTGTCAAACATTCCTCTCCCCCTCCATTGCCTACTCTTTTACTTGCTTCTCATTAAAAGTTCAGGGGGAGACAGACGGAGAGGAGAGGGGGGAAAAAGCTTGTTTGGTGCTGGCCTGGGGGCCTCGTGCTCTGTTGTGGGAAGCAGCGTGAACGGTTAATGGAGGGAGGTCTCACTCAGGGGGAGATGACACCCACGTTTACAGAGGAACGAGGTACTGTAACGCTCATTGATGTCAGAACGTGAAATGGAAAGTATGGTGCCCTTTTGGAACGGAGGAGAGTGACTCAGGTGACAGGACGAGAGGAGAAGAGTTTAAATGCAGTGAGAACTCTCTTTATGGCTCTGGCTGGACCGCTTCCCGACCTCCTGCGTCTCTTCATGAAACAGAGCAGACCTTCCTTACATGAAAAGCCGCAGTGACAGCACCTGGTTGTTATTTGGCCTAATGGACTGGGAGCTTTACTCACCAACGAGCAAATCAACTTGGGGGGGCTTGTTGCTTTGTTGCGCACTCACCCGCTACCTCTTCCATCTCTCCCTTGTTTTCATCTTTCTCTCTCTTTTTCTTACCAAGGTTATTATAGTTTTGCAAATTGATTTTTTAAATTTTACTACTATTGTTGCATTCATGTTATGTTTTAGTTTAGGTTTAATCAGTTTAAGCAAACCAATAAGCCGTTTGTGCACAAATACATAAAAGCCAGAGGAAACCGTTTAGGTTGCCCTCTTTTGGCTGGTTGCCGTGAACGCATTAGTCCCTGCTGGTAGATGTTGCAACTACTCTTTTTCCATGGATAGCCACTCAAAATTAGCTGTTTGTTCTGACTATATATATATTTATTTCCAAGCCACATATACATTGCTAATATGATATATTATTTATGCATTATAAATGTATTCATTACTTATTTTGTATTTATTTATATATTTATATTTTGTGATTAGAGTTATTTACATTGTTATTAGAGTGATTTGTATAGCATTTATATATATACACTGCTGTTCAAAAGTTTGTGATCAGTAAGGTTTTTATTGTTTTTTAAAGCTTCTTATGCTCATCGAGGCTTTATCTATTTGATCAAAAATACAGAACATTTTTTTAATTTTGTGAAATATTATTGCAATTTAAAATAACAGTTTTCTATTTTAATATACGTTATATTTAATTCCTTATTCTTTATAATTTATTCCTGTGATGCAAAGCTGAATTTTTGATGTGTTAAATGGATAAAAAGTAATAGTAAAGACTTATATTGTTAGAAAATATTTCTATTTTGAATAAATGCTCTTTTTAACTTTTTATTAATCAAAGAATCAAAGAACAAAGTATTCAACAGGATTCAAAAAAATATTAAGCAGCACAATAGTTTTCAACCCTCATAATAAATCAGCATGCTAATTTATAATCAATGTTGGAAACAGTTGTGCTGCTTAATATTTTTTGGGATGTGTGAGACTTTTTAATCAAAATAGAACTTTTGTGTTACACTACTATTCAAAAGTTTGCGGTCAGTCAGCATATTAGAATGATTTCTGAAGGATCATGTGACATTGAAGACTGGAGTACTGGCTGGTGAATATTCAGCACTGCGTCACAGAAATAAATTATATTTTAAAGTATATTAAAATAGGAAACCAATATTAGAAATTGCAATAATATTTCAAAATATTACTGTTTTTTCTGTATTTTTGATCAAATAAATACAGCCATGATGAGCATAAGAGACTCCATTACAAAACATTAACAGCATTTTGGGGGCCTGAAATGCAAACTTTTGAAAACAGTACAGTTATCTTCTCTGCACTCTTAAAAATATAGGTGCTTAAAAGGTTATTCACAGCGATGCCATAGAAGAACCATTGTTGGCTCCACAAAGAGCCATCCAGTCAAAGGTTCTTTACAGCTGCAGTCCGTAAGTTTTGCCTCTTTGTTGCCATCTCTGTTTGAAAACCTGGAATTGCAGCTGTGTGCGGAATTACCTTACTTGCGTGGGTTGCGAGTCGGCACGGCTCCAGCGCGGATGAATCTAATGCTTTGAGGAGTATGTGTGGCTGTCAGTTACCGCACCGGTGTGGATATTTACTGTACTTCAATCACAGATTCTAGCCTACATCTTGGAATATGACCCAAATAAGAGAGGAAAAAAGCATTACCATAAATCTCGCTTCCAATAGTGATTAAATTTAAAGATCGGTTAGCTCATATCACATCAAACCGTTCAAATTATTATTATTGTTATACTTTATTCTCAAATGATTAATGTTAACAACATCAGCATTGGTGACTATGAGTATAGTGTGTATTAGCGTGTAGATTTCAATTTCTGTACAAAAAATATCTAATCAAATCAAATTGTCATACACTTTGAATTTCATATTAAGCAATTCTTTTTAACCCAAAAAGCAAATTATGCTCCCTTCGAACTGGTTTTCTTTAAAATACAAATCTTTGTAATCCCAGGCTATCTGTAATCAGAAGCACATTTATAACTGGAATATAATTTTATTTTATTCACATGTGTTTTATAAAGACATAATCCTTTATGGATTACAATCCGCCAAAATAATACATTTAATTATTCTGGCTGCTGTGAGAAAAGGCTATAAACGATCGGCCACCTGCAGGAAGCTCACATGTGATAGCATACTAGCCAGGACAACTTCTTTATGTTTACAGACATGACGTAATGTAAGTAACGTAAGTGTCGTGCGCTTTGCTAACTTCTTTATGTTTACAGACGTGACGTAATGATGCAGCGGCATGCTCGAATTTCCCGCGAAAACCTACCCGTATCACTCAAATTAGAAAAATTAATTATAAGCTAACCGTTGTGATTCGGGCTAAAGTAAGGCGATAGTTTTGAACACTGGCTGGTTATGTACTTGCTGAAATATTGATTTCGGATCATTTTCAACCAAAAAAAGTTATGGACTGCAGCTTTAAAGAACCATCTCTTTCTTACCTTTTTTATAATCTGAAGAACCTTCTTTCGCCACAAAGAGCCTTTTGTGAAACAGAAAGGTTCTTCAGATGTTAAAGGTTCTCTATGGAACCATTTAGACAAAAAAGGTTCTTCTATGGCATCGTGAAGCACCGTTATTGTGTAAACTACAAAAGACTTTGAGTGTGTGTAAACAACAAAAAGACAAATTTGTGAATATGGTGGCGTCATGCACATGCTTATTATGTGTTCAGTCTATAGGCATGTGCGCAATTGCGTAGTGTTTCTTTCAAAGTGTTGCATACCCTTTTTGTTTACTTTGCATTAATTATTATTGTTTTCAAATGAAGTTTTCATCTCTTAAGGTCCTTGCACACTGAGTCCGAAATATTCGTATGCGTTTTTTCGTATTCGTCATCCAACAAATTTGCACACTGAAACCTTGCACACTGAGTCCGATGCGTATTAATTAATCCGTTGCGAAAAAATCCTCAAAACAGTACTAAATGGAGTCTTCAAGCATTGAGGATGGTTTTGTTGTCCTCTCTCTTCTTAAAAAGAGAAAAAGAAATATTGGGTCCATCCAATCACGGGCGATTCAAAGTTTACTTCAGGATGTCAGTGGCTCAGTTTGATGCTTTGCTAGCGATACTAGAGCCACATGTTAAAAAGAAGACCACCAATGTCTGTGAACTCAGTGTGCAAGGATCTTTACGGTGCTTTGTGTTGCGAGACGAAGTGGATGAATTTGGCAATCGCCATTCTGGATTTTGGCGTTCGCTTGTATGGTGGCTCTGAATTGTCAAAACATCTCTCAAAATGCTTGCTACGGATGCGAAAAATGCAGAAAATCGAAAGTTTCAGAGGAAGCGTGTAAACGTGATTGACACAACGTGAGGTCGTATTTATTTTTCAACGTGCAAAAATTTCGGACTCAGTGTGCAATCGCCTTTAGTCTTCACTTTTAGTATCTAATAATAATTTTGCCTTTCTTGATATCCTGTATCTCCACCTGTCTTCACCCTGTAAGCTGTGCAGTCTACGTGTTGTAATGCATCCTTGTGGTACATTTTCTCCAAGTGAGATAGGGAGGACCACATGAGGCATGGTGCACAGGATCCACCAATGACTCGCACATATAGACCACGTCCTTTCCTCGACTGCTGACAGACAGCAGTTCAGAGAATCCCTAACTTCTCTTTTTCTTTCCACCCTGTCTCTTCCTTCTCTTGTGTTTTTGGGGTTTGTGGAGAATGCTGACATGAGATTTCCTGCCAGTGTGATTTCCTGTTCAGAGCACTATTACTTCATTCAGAACGTTTTTTTTTTTTTTTGGCACTGTGCTCATCCATCATCAGATTCCTTGAGGACGGAGCTCTTTGTGGACATACAGCTCATATGTCTTCAAATCTGAACGGTCCAGTCGATTATTCCTTAACCTCGTTCTCCTCTCCCATATCCTGGGACAGACCGTGCCTCTTTCCATTGTAAAGTGGTTTAGATTACACTTCCTCATTGTTGATTTCTCCCTCTTTCATCCTCCATAACTAAAATGACAAACACATTTCTCTTTCAACTCGCAGAACACAGTTCATTTGTCATATCTCGCTCGCATCTCTCTCTCTCCAGGCCTGCCATGAAGATACAGCGGCTCAAAGGGGGTATGGCTTCGCTCTGCAGTCTGGGGCCTCCTAACAAGGTATCTGTGTATCTAATATTCAACATGTGTTTTAATGTTTCCACTGGAGGTCTTCGTAAAAATCATTTTTTCCTCATCAAAACACGAACTTGCGAAAGTGAAAACAGGAGAGGAGCAAAAACAAAGGTCTGACTGTAAAACCCTGAAAACTTCCAGCTCAGCATTCACTCCTTTAAATCAAAGTGCCGCCGTTGAGACCAAACAGTGAGTCAGACACTGGAGGTAACACAATTTCCATGCAAATTCGCCATGCTTAATAAATCCAAGTTGTCGAAAAACCACCCTTTGTGAGTGGCGATGGCCTCGCTTGCACGCCTCCTCCGAAATGTCTTTCCATTTCCATGTCTCTCTCGCTCTCTGTGTTTAACAGTTGAAACTTGAAGAAAAGGATCAATAAAACATTACGTTTCATCATTTTTTCCATTCTTTAATTTTCACCACAAAGCTGACATGTTTTAAGAGGTGCAACCTAATATTGCCTGAACTCCAGGACCCACCACAAAGATCTCTGGGTAACGGCAAGGGGAGGAAGTGCACAGACAGGAAGACGGGCGTGTATGGAAAAGCACACTCCACTTGGCTGCAGCAACACGCCCTTAAGTAACAACATATGGCAGCGGAGGAATTCTTCTGATTGACGGTCGCATGAACGTCACCCTGTCGCTGTGGACACATGTCCATGTTGGAGGACTGATACGACTAGCCGTACCTAATTCCTTTCCATGTTCTCATCTTGGAGTAGGCATCACAATGGGTATGATTCATGGGGTAATTCCGACAGCTACTGACTTGGCTCCCGCTCGCATTTGGGAAGAATGTGACCTCACAATACTGTTCTTTCAAAGGCCTATCCCTGTCTGTTCTTCTCCCAGACCCGGCCTGAAGCACGCCTCTGTTCCTGAAGAGGGAGAGAGGGAAGTAGGGAGAAATCGAGGAGGAGAAATAGTGGAGAGAGTGAAACTGTGTGTGTGTCTTTCCCTAATAGCCAGTCCAGAGGAAGACAGGTCATTGTCATTCCAGGGCAAAAGCAAGCCTGGACAGTATTATTCTTCTCGCTCACTGTCTGTGCATGACATCGGTCTACATATAACAGACCTCGTCTGTACAGCTGCATCACAAGCAGCTCAACTGTTAAATCAGAAATAACCATTACAATTAAGGCAATAGAAGTGGTGCTTTAACTGCATTTTGAGTTATGCATTGCATTGTTTTTTTTAGAGTGTTTTGTTTATGTCCATAAACTTCATGTCCTGGCAGAAACTTACCAGCACCTTTTTTTCTGTTTTTCTACAGATTTTTTCTTACAGTGTGAGAGAAAGAGAGAAGGCAGGAGGGGATGTGATGCTGTGGACTTTCCTCATCATGGGCCACCAACCTACTCACCACAAGCCTTCATTGATAAATGCATGCTTTTCAAACACATCACAGATACATACATAAAAGACAATAGACTCTTCTTCAGCCTGTCACTCACTAACTGGGTCACTCAAAACAGCTGGACAGACTTTTGTCTGGTGTTCACCCACACATCTCCCATGGCAGGCCAAAACCACCACGTGGTTTGTCATCCATCTCTATGCCAACTGTGCATGTTAGATCTCAAAGCAGTCATCCATCTCTTTCTTATTAGGCGTCTCACCATACAAACAGCTCTGAGTCATGTCCTAAACTTCTTATGATACTCCATTCAAATTGTTTATACAGATTTATTCCAAAATCATCTTGTTAAATAGCAACTCTACAAGTGAGCACCTTCAATCAGCACTAGACCAAACAACACATTTTTTAAGATGGAGCCAAATGGAAATATATATTGCATAGCCATTTAAGTCATTTGTTTTTTCCCCCTACATTTTGCTGCAACAAAAGAATGAGGCATTTTGGGGCGGACAATGCATTGGCAGGGGAAGAAAGGTTGAGGGAATTGTTAAAAATGGGCTCCTGGGCAATCTCTCAATTCTTCCATTAGCGCACACCCCTTGGCTTTGAAAGTTTCAGTCAAGACATCACACTCTTATTTGCTCTGTTTAGCCACTTCACTAAGTGCTAAGTTGATTTCCTGGAATTGTCTCATTTGGTAAGTCAAAGAAAAGTGGCCGTTAGTCATAAAAAGCAAGATAGTCAAAACAACCGTAATTAAAAATAAGATCCTTCAGAAATGGCCAAGCTTTTTATTTTTGGCAGCCAAACAGTATAAACTTGACTCGTTTAAAGCCATTAGTGGTAATAAATTATCAAACTGAAGTGTCTATTTGCTATATAGTTGTAAAATAGTGAATGAGCTGTTTTCAATTAGCATAAATTCAAGACTTCACTGTTATACTTTGATTTGCAGACGATCTGGGCTCCTAGACGTCCGTTGAGGGTGGAAGAATTTGGCATTGTTGGAAGTCTAAAAAAAAGCATGTCGGCTTTTCAGAAGTGATGATTTCAAGATCCGCCAATTCATTCTTATCTGGGCCAAGAATGAATGTTTGATATCTGGATATCGTTAACTTGAGGTACACTGTGTTGCTTGGAGTTACAGCATATCTGATTACTGGTGTTAATGACAGCCTTGAAACTGATGTTCTGATACATCGTGAAATAAAATAAAAGCTGTCCAGTATTTTATAACCCTGTATAGCATTGCATAAACTTGCTGTTTAGAAGGAAAGTGATTCACTTAAAAGGCTATAGTGAATGCTATTCCTTACAGGATGCTTTTATTAGCATTGTTGCATTACTATAAAATACTATAAATAGCTTTAAAGACATTGTGAGGAGTTTTACAAATGGTCTGGTTCCATGACAGTTTCTTTCTGTCTTTAAACCGTGGTCAAGTGCATGAGAGTAACCTACTGAAATCAGTACAGAGTAGCTGTTGGTTCGACAAGCAAGTAGACTAGACATCTATTTTACAAAAATAGAGCTTGGTTTATTCCCAAGCACAGTAAACGTGAGTCAAAAAACCATAAATTTAATGACTCCAACACCAGAGCAGTCCAGAACAGCCCAGGAGGTCAGATAGCAAAACCATCTAGTCAGTTTCGTGGAGCTGTACTGATATAAGCCCAATAATAGGAGCAGATGACGTTGTTTAATACCCTGAATGTTTTTTTGTTTAATTCTTGAGAAAATATTGTCTGAGCTTCTTAAATGTCTACATCAGTGTGTTTTATAGGATCCCTAAAGTAGCCATAATTGCTTGTAATGCAACACACAGTAGAGCTGGCAAATGCATATGAACAACACTTCTGCAATAGCAATGGTTTTCTTTATATGCACAATAAAATATGTGTATGTAGTCCCGTATTTCCCGTATAGACGCAACAAAAAGAAATATATGATTTGCACTTAAAATGCTGAATCTATCGTTTTAACATCATTGCTGTTACTATTTACAAATCCAAACAATGTCACTGTTTAATTTTACAATGTGGCTAGCATGTCCTATGAAACAGCATGGCATAAAGCAACTGTTGTTAAGCATCCAGAAGACAAAAGACACACCACACTCTAAAAAAATGGTTAGGGCCTGGGACTGCAGCATTAGCTAACTTCTCCGTGATTAACCATTTTGAATTCCTCATAATAGTGTTTCTGTCATCATAGCTTCTCAGACATTTCCTTGAAGATTTCTATCTGCAATGCAAACACACCCTGGGAAATATCACGCTAATCACCATGATTCCAGCATGTGCCTCATTTTCCGCTGGGAGTAATGTATCTGGAGCATAATGCACAAATGAAAACAATCAAATCATCTATTGAGGTAAGAGGAAAATCATGTTCAGGAGGCCATGCTGGTAAAACCACAGATTAAAGATGCTTAATTGTATGCTGGGTGTGCGTACAACTAAAGTAAATGCACTGCACAAATGTCTTTATCTCTTAAGCAGTGTTGTTTTTCAAGTGAAATCGTTGTTTATTTAATAATTTATTTTTGCAATATGTGTCATTGTGCTTTTACGGAAAAAAATAAAATAAAATAACAATAAAATAAAATAAAAATAATAATCTGATTAAATCAGTATTTTGTAGTTTTACTGAATTAATATTGAAACAACCTTTACCTGAGAAGCAAAATTACATAAGAAGATAAAAAAAAAACATTATTGAGAAATTAGTTGTTTAGATAATTGTACTGGAACACAAGACAAAGAAATCGGCTGATTAAGAAAAATAATTTTTAAAATGTACTACTATGCCGCATTGAATGCAGTGCAAGTTTGGCTGTAAGTGCACTTTGCAGCAGCACTGCACATTTTTAAAGCTCACATGATTCATAGATTGCACATCTGTGGAGTCAATCAGTACTGCAGTCGCTGAGTCAGTGTGTAATCACAAAACCTTCCTCAAGAACAGGAAGACAGTAGACGCTGAAGCCTTTCCTGTCAATGAAAGTGCATATTGTAGACAATGAAACAAGGAAGCATAAATTGGGGGCACCTAATATGAAGTTGGGTAGAACTTCCCTTAGAGTTAGTATATGTACTTAAATGAGGGGTTATAATGGGTATGAGGATTGAGAGATCCACCTCATTGTTTGAAGGAAAAAAAACAGTGTTAACAAGATTAATTGATATTCGCATGTAGAAAGACCAAATAGGAAATATGTCAATATTAGAAATCTTGCAGTTACTTTCCTAGGCAATGCATTTGAGTAACTGAACTTAATCTGGCCGTGAATACTGGTTTAAGAGCAGGCCTGTGTGTTTAGATATTGGTTGATGAGATTTTTCTTTAATGCATTCCTAATCGTTTTACTCTGTAAGTGTTAATTGATTCCTCAATAGATTTATGGCAGTTTCCAGATGGGCTGGCTACCAATCAGGCAGACTTGCCCCAGAGCAATTCCTCAAGTGAAGCAAGACCACAGAGGGGAGGGCAAAGGTCATCATGTGGTTCAAGCAGTACCTTCATTTTCCATTATGAATGAAGGCTGGAATTAAAGGAATAGTAAATGAAAACACCCTCAGGCCATCCAAGATGTAGATTAGTCTGTTTTTCATCTGAATAGTGGAGAAATTTAGCAACTCATCAATGGATCCATTGCAATGAATGGGTGCTGCCAGAATGACGCATTTAAGAAATAAGTCCATTATTAGGGCATTTTAAATTAAAACCATAGTTTCTGGCCAAAATACAAGTCTATAATCCATAATAATGCTTCCTCCAGTGAAAAAGTCCATCTCCTGTTTTTCTCTCACATCAAAATCCTTGTATTTGTTTAGAACTGTTTTGGACTGTTTTCAGTTGTAACCAGTGCTTGATCTTTGAACATTTCTCTTCTTATTCAGAGGAAATGACTTTTTACTGGAGAAAGCAATATTATGGATAGGGGATTTATATTTTAGCTGTGATATAAGGGTTTGAAGTTAAAAAATGTCTTGATAGATTTATTACAAACACACAGCTTTTTGCTTCAAAAGACATTCATTAATAGACTGGAGTTGTGTTTTTATCAGCTGTTTGAGCTCTCATTCTGACGGAACCCATTCACTGCAGAGGATTCATTGGTAAGCAAGTCATGTAATGCTAATTTTTTCCTAAATCTGTTCGGATGAAGAAACAAACTCATCTGCACTCATCTATCATTTTTTTGAATGAGGATAGATAGATAGATAGATAGATAGATAGACAGATAGACATGATTTTGTGATTTTTATTTGAAAGGTCCACTGGTCATAGCCGTGTTTATAGTAATGCTCATGTGTGTTGACCTACTTGAATCCCACACATGAGTACAGATGTGCATGTGCAGTGATGCCTGCATAAAACTGTTATGTTTGTGTGAATGATACTGTTCTTTCTCAGATATGGGTCCATCTGTCACTCTTAAATCAGCTTAAGCTCAAAGAGGCTTCAGCGCCTCTTGTCTGCGCTCTATTGCAGTTTCTGCTTTAAACACTTTCAACCATACCACTGTTTAGCACTAGCATTACAGTCTTCACCGTCTGTGGCCTAAAACCTTGAATGGCATTTAAATTAATATAGGGGAATCACCTCAGTATTTCACAATAAACGATTTCATCTTATTTACCTTAATGGTAAAGTGGAAGTTTAGTGGAAGCTGATTGGTGCCCATCAGTGGGTCAGTGTGCCAGCGTCAGTGGGATGATGGCCCATCTGTGGATGTTTCCACATCTGCACACTCTTAATACTGTAATCCAGCATCACACACAAATTACACCCAAGCCGTTCAGTGTCTAGCCGAAACGAAGTGGACTGTGTGCGGTGATTGGTGCTCAAGAAGACATTAAATGTGAGGTGAATTTTTTTAGTCTTTTGAAAGCAGGTTTTTTTTGTATGTTTTACCTTTATTGGGTTTCTGTTTTGTTGTGTTGTGTAGAAAATACTTTTGTTACTCTGAGTTTGATGTGTTTGGTCAGGTGTTGCAGTAAGGATATTGTTGTGATTATAGAGAGATGGTTTGGCCGCCACACATGGTCTCACCCACAGCAAGTGTGTGCTAATGGGTTTACGTTACGCTAATAAATCACCGTCATCCATAAACTGGTTGTGAGAGTATGTTACGAGGCTTTAACAGCTCCTCACCTGTGCCAGCGTCTCTCATTTACCTGCCCTGCTAGCTAGCATGTATGGCACTCCTCATCTGAATCCAACACAGTCATGGGTTTAGTGAATACTGAGGATTGTTTCTGTGTCTGTTTTATGCACATGTTGTTGGTAACTGTTGCTTTCACATTTTCACATCAAATACCAATGCATAATTTCCTCAATAAATGAAGCAAAGTTCTGCCGTTCAAATATTAGGTATGAGGTAGGTACGATTTTTATTACAGTAAAAACAGTAACATTTTAAAATATTATTGCAATTTAAAATAACTGTTTGCTTTTAGCATATTTTAAATGTGATTTATTGTGATAGCAAAACTGAAATTTTTATTAGTTTTTAGTGTCACATGGTTCTTTAGAAATCATTCTAATATGCTGGTTTGTTGCTCAAGAAACATATCAATATTGTAAACAGTTGTGCTGCATAATATGTTTACTTTTTGGGCATTTATTTGAAATAAGAGTATTAATTTCTTTAAAAAAAATCTTACTGACCCCAAACTTTTGAACTGTGTATATTCTGTATCTATACAGTAGAGATACATTCAAAGCATTTATCTCTACAATGGCCATTTTTGTCCCTTTGTTATTGTTGACAAAATCAAAAATCTTTATTTCTGTTTCTGTGCTAAAATATTTTAGTTCATATTTCTACATTTCAGGTTTGTACTGGAGATTTAACATTTGAATCAAGACGTAACCATTTCAGTGACAAATGCAAAGTGATTCAGCCAAAATTCAGGGAACTTATTCTAAAATCTTTGCGTAGCATGAAAACATTTTACCTAGAAAAATCTGCCCCCACAGTGTCTCTACACTTTTGAGAAACAACAGCTCAGTTAATCAGAGCATGTCATGTTGTATTTGGACGACTTTCAACAAGTTGTAGGGTGGTGCTGGTGGTTTTGTTCCTAAACAGTGAAACTAATCAGCTCTCTTGTCTTGTCTATCTTGAATGTGCACAGAGAGGTGGATTCTCAGTTTCTCTCTCAGCGATAACTGTGTGGATAAAACATATCACTGATAGTAAAAACGTGTAAAAAGACCAGAATGATCAATTCTGTGATTACCCTTTTTGATTTTATTCTATCCAATGATTTGTGTAAATACCAAAAATCTATGTTTTTTTTTTTCATTTTAGCTTTCTAGCAAGCAATGCAGGTTGATAAAAACTTTGTGAATCACGATCTTATCCACATTTATTCGCACTTCAGAGACCTGAAAGATTTCCCTGAGAGAACCCAAAGCAGCACAATAAAGGAAAGTATTTCCCATGTCACATACCAGACAAGTGGATTTCTTGCTACATTGAGCAGTGCCTGCTTCTTTCGCTGACAGGCCAGGTAGTCCTGGGTCAGATAATGCCTTTGAGAGACACAGACACAATAGTTCAAAGGAACAGCGCTGGCATTTGATCCATTGTCCTGACAGGCCTTTGGAGACCACCACCCACAGAGCATCATCTTACCCAGGTAGAAAGGCAAAGAGCGCGGTTTGCTCTGGATTAATTGCAGGTGAGCCGTATCGGTGGACTGTAGTGGGCGACAATCAGCCGAGCCATTGTTTCGTGATCTTTGATGAGGTTTTGTGTGGTTCTCGATGACTTCTTGGGTTGGTATGCACGTTACTTTCCTCTCACGCTTTGGTCAGAGTTATGTCATATGTCTTGAATGAGTGACTCAGGTTAGATCTGAGTACTAAGTATCTATCTTGCATGCGTCTCTGGCTGTCTTCAGCCGAGCTCAATCATTCTCCGCGATGCTTTGATGTGATTTGATGGAAGGTCTGTTTGTCTGTGTGGTCCTGGTTGGAAAGCATGACCCAGACTGATGTCACGGGTCATCAGATCAGAACGTTTTAAATCCACCCTTCTCTCTCTTTTTCTCTCGTCAGGCTCGCAGGGAGATTAAGCAATCTGCCGGTTGTCATGAACAATGATCATATGACAGGATTAGCCACCCAACAATCATGACTGAACAGCTTCTGTTTATTTCCAGAGCAGTGCTTACCTCATCGTTAATAATGCATGGTACACACGCACTTACAAACCTCACTGTTTGCTGTAACAATCTCGTCTCACACCTTAGATTCTTTTCAAACATGTAGCAATTAACAAAATGTAATCCTGCTTTCACTGCAAGTGTTCACATGATATTTATCAGATGCAATGCCTGATGGCAATTAATAGCACAATGCTATAATTTTTAGTTCTTTAAATGTAATCACAATCTATTGTATAAGTGTGAATGTTATACAGGAAAAAATGTCAAAGTAAAAAATGAGAGAAAGATGATTCTGTATGGTAGGCCATATAATGAGATAGGATTAAAATAATAATTATTCTATACAATGAATTACTACTAGTGGAGATCATTTAGGCCTAAATCATTGCTAAACTTGTTACAGAAATGCATGGCTATAGGATAAAAAAATTCTGATTGGATAAGCCTTGAATAGCCAATAAATGTGCACCTGTGACAGCATGTCAACTGAATTCCTGTAGTATATTCCAAATTCTGTATTTGCAGCTATAAAAATCTCACAGTTAGGCTAATGAACTACAGTGGTATAATTTCTGTTTTATTTGGATTGTTATTAAGAAACGTTTACTTTTGAAATGTGTTTATTTCTATTGGCAACTCTAAAAATAAATAAAGAAATAAAAAATTATAATTCAATTACTTTAAACTATTTACTTGAAAAATTAACTTTTCAATGTTGCAATGTTTCAACGCACTTAATGCTTTGTGTTCATGATATTTCAGTTGTATTTATTGACTAAGCACTTAACAATATTGTTATTGCTACACATTGCAGTTTAAAAAGAGATCTGGTTTTGCCAGTACCTGAGCCAGAATATATTTTCACTGCAAATGTGTCACTCTCTCTTTTTTGTTTGTTTCTTTGCCTTACAAAAAAATTGTTTTTGTTTTCATAATATCATAACCAGCAAGTCTGTGTTATTGTATGCTTGACAGGGTTATCCTAAATTTGCATATAGAGTTGAGAAATAAATACCCATGACATCAATGAGATCTTTCTCGAGAATATTTTTTTTCTTTCCGTTTTTTCATCTACACAGCAGACATTTTTTTCTCCTTTTATAAATTCTTTTTATTTTTGCCTTTTTTTCTAGTAAAAAGACTAGACATGTGTTGTCATGTACTTTTGTCTTCTTCCTTTTCACTTTTATATAAAAAAATGAAAAAAAAGACAAAATTATATTCAGTAAATAATTAGACATACAGTATTTATTATACAAATAATACTATATTCAGGGACACACAGGTTTTTAGATTTTTTGTTTATTTATTTTACGGTGCAACAAGACATATTTTTATATTATTATTATTTTTATAATATATTTTTTGTTTATTTATGTACTTTTATTATTTTTATTTATTTATTTATTTTACAGTGTACAGGCTGATGCTCTATGGCCTTTTTGTCCCTCATGAGTTTTTGAGTCTCAGTGGCTGTGTGATTTATGGGGTTCGGACAGAAGGCAGATTTTTATCTGCTGGATGGGATACTTTGGCCATTAAACAGGAAGGATAACTGTTGACTCAGCAAAAACCTCTAAACAGTGTGAAAGCAGTTTAAATACATGCACAAACACATACCCGCAGACCCCCCCTCCCCCAAAAACCACCTCTGGCACGAGCTGTTGAGGTCATGGGCAAATAGACGTTTTGAGAGGTATGGGTTTGTGGGTAATTGGACTGACAGCGGAGTGGAGTCAGGGCTGCTGATGTTTATTTACCTCTTTTGTTGTGCCATGAGCAGGGACAATGAAACGCTCTGGCCCGGGCCCAGGATGACATCGCCTCTTGTACTGTCAGGGCCCGGATGCGATGAGCTTCTGCAATCCAAACTTCCTCTTTGCCAAAAGATTTCCCGGGATTCTTCTGCTACGTCAGCCTGAATGAAGGTACAGGCTGAATCTGGATATGGGATGAGGTCATGGAAGACCCGAGAAGCAAAAAAAAATATGTCTGAACTTCTTAAGCTGAAGTCATTGTTGTCTTTATTGAAGGTGCGGTGACTGTATAAACAAAGCTTCTCTCTTTTTGAAACACGCTAAGTTGCTAATGTGTTTTTAAATATTTTTTCATGGTGGAGTTTTGTTACAGTGCAGGTAGAGCTACTTTTGGGCGTCTCAAGCATTTAACACTCTAGTGTTTTTGTTCTCTCCATTCTGTTGTTTTGTAGGTCAAGATCACACGCCCTTACCAAAACACAACTTTCAGATCTTCGCTGTCCTTTGGCATTCTTTCTCCGGTCGTTAGCATGCAGCGTTGGTGCTCATGGGCCGTTTCTGTGATGCAATGGAGGGCTGTGCTCTTCCAAGGAGAGGAACTTCCCTTCTCTAGCACATTCCTGAGTGTAGCTGCAGGCAAGGGTTGGACTCAAACCATGTGCATCCATTACAGGAGAGAAATATCATCAAAGACTGTGTGACGCAACACTGCCAATCAATGTCTTGACAATTTTTACACCCCAAGCTCATTTCTACACTTTGAAAAGATTTACAAGTTTGTTTAACGTTACTTTATGCAGTGAACCCAAAGGTGTACTCAACATTTTTTTTATAGCAGAATCAATGCAAACTGTACATTGCTCAGAGACGCAAAACAGTGCTGCGATCTTTGTTCGGAGCAATTTTCATTGGCAAAATTGAGCAAA